GAATATGGCGGTCTCGTAACTGAAAGGGAACTCGGACCAATTGTCTTTATTTAGGGTTAGTCCAGTGTGAGTCAACAGATTGATGACCTCACGTAGGACCTTTATAGGTTCTTCGCGTGTAGATGTACAAATTATCACGTCGTCAAGGTAGATGAAGACTGAACATTCCATCTCGACACCAATAACGCGATCGATCAGCCACTGTTACATAGCTGGCGCGTTAGTTAGGCCAAACGGTATACACTTAAATTGAAATAAACCACATGGTTTTGATTCCCCAGAAATTGGAATCTGCCAGTACGCTGACCTAATGTCCAACGTACTGAGAAAACGAGCATCCCGCAATTTGTCAAGTGTAGCTGGGACATGAGGTATGGGATAGGAGTCGGGAACCGTTGCACGATTAAGTGCTCGATAATCCACACAGAAGCGCCATCCACCACATTTCTCTATTTTTCGAACTTATTAGAAGTGTCAACCAGACTTCTAATACATAGGGCGGATTGGGTATACTATATGAGTTTGGCGATTAACATCAACATCCAATGCCAACCAACTTGCGAGCATCAGGGTCATGGACCGACATCAAACTAACCGCAAACTAACACTGGAAGAGCAAGTACTTAGGTCAAAAAAGACATCGCTGGCTAGAATTAGGAGAGGCCTAAATCTAAAGATGAATAAAAACAAGCTAATGAATGTATCACAAACAGTTTTTAAAAGTCATCACCATCATCTTGGAATGTATGTCCAGTTTAGAAACTAGATGGTTCGTGATATTTCCCTTTTTGTATTCCATCCTAGTGAATCTAAGATTTCATTAAAAACAGTTCAGAGAGTAGGTATGCTATCTACCCTCCTTAGGTATTAAATATTTCCTTCAAATTGTCATGTCTATAGTTTTTCAATTTCTCTATAGAGGCTCTACTAGTAGTATTCTAATAAAAAAATCACTGTGTCCAACTTAACTCAATAATTACTACTTTGAAGTGGTTTGTGCCATATTACCCACATCTTGTAAACATTCCCATCAAATTACCCTGGCCTCGTATTGTAACTGTGATTCAGTCGTAATTGATCGAAATTGAACCAAATATTTGGAGCCGGTCGGTTACTTTGACAAAATTCTCAATTCGGGCTTTGCCTGTGATTGGTAAAGTGGTCGAACTAGACACGAATAACTTTCTGTTCGACTGATCTAATTAATCATGAAAAATTTAGTTATTTACATTCGATTTGGTTTACTTTTGTTGAAGATAGTTGACTGTACTTTTACTTTGTTATTTTGCTTTGCTAAGGCTTCTTTGTGGCAAAGAACGTATACAAATATCAATACTTATCAAATCTCTTTTGTGGGTTACCTGGGGCACAAAAAAATTGTTTGTTGAAATAGGAATAACAAGCAAAGAGAAAAACTTACAGCACGTGCTTGGCTTTTCCATTCACATCTTTTGATTAGCCTCCTTTGACTATAAGGATTCGCTTTCTACTTTGGAACCTGATAAAAAACATTTTGTGAGTTATAATAGTCTGAGAAATATTCAAAGCACAACTTGTTTGTTGAAGTTTAGGTTGTTTGTTGCATACTCAAAGATTTTTGAAAACGAGATTATGGGAAGAATGTGGTTCCAGAAATGTTTGATGACAAAAAAAAAAACTATCGACTCAAAGTAAAACTCTAATGATTATGGATTATAACGACATATAAGCTTCTGCAAATATTGCTATTTGAATTTCAATTTGCCAAACATAACAGGATAACGAGTCAATATAGTTTTCGCTAAAGGGTCAAAATTCAAGCCTTCCCACAGAAAGGATAATTATTAGTCCTAACATTTCAATTAAAAGGAGGGTCAAGTGACAAACAAGTTGTTTTCACCTGTTTTATAAAATTCTCTCAATAAATTGTTATAATTTTTTAATCTGAAATTATGGCTAAGGCCTTCCAACATAATTCCACCCTAATTTGTTCACAATATGTTCAAATTCTCAAGCTTTTATTTTTCAAAAGTTCTATTATTAAACTTTCGACGTCCATCATGATTAATGGATTATTTTAATATCGCTTGCTTCCCTTTTCGTAGCGTTGAAGGGTAACTGTGGTCAAACTAGAGATAAAAGTCGATTTATGGGTTAGATCGTTTCAGGATTAGTTTCTAGATTTATTTGGAGGGATTTTGTATTTTTAGTTACAAATTTGAATGTTCGAGGGCAATGGATTATTGGAAATTATATTTTATACAAAAAGGGAAATAGAAAAATTGAAGTGGGTGACAGAGAATGATATTAATTTACTTTACCCACATAAATTTGTAACGTTTAAGTTACTAAATTTTTCTTGCATCTCGGTCACTTAATTAGTTGAAAATTAGCGCGAGATCAACCAACCGGGTTTTATGAGACTCACCCCGGGGTGGAAGTAGATTCTGAAAGGTCTGCAACCCCTCTGCAGTTTTTTTTTCGGCTATAATATCGCCGCGTTGCAAGAGAACGGACATTCCGTTTCCGACACCAGATCCGACCAGACCAGTCACTAGCCAAGGTACGCCAACATCACCAGCTCCGTTCTCCGCTTCCTTCATTTTGGGGATGCGCATATTGACCTCTGGTTTTCCGTCTCCACTGTAACAAGCTACCTGGAGCACGTGGGCCCTCAACCACTATAATCTTTAGGGTGGCGCCCGAGTTCTCCAAAAACCCCTTAGCCGGCCGGAAAACCAAAGTAGCACTACAAATTTGGCTCCCGAACAGGAACCATTTCGACCGTTTTGCGCATGTCAACGATGTCAGCTTATGACCGAGGTGATTACGTTATCAGCCTGGACCATGAGCTGACAAAGTTTGACCAAATCAAAGACACTACCCCGTTAGTGGAACATTCTATCAATCCCGACCCAATTAAATAAAGGTACAGTCCTCAGAATCCCAGGATTTAAGAAATAATCAACAACGAAGTACGGAAAATATTGGATGATGGGATCATTGAACCGTCCGAGAGCCCCTGGAGTTCACCCGTAGTATGCGCATATTGACCTCTGGTTTTTCGTCTCCACTGTTACAAGCTACCTGAAGCACGTGAACCCTTAACCACTATAATCCTAAGGGTGGCGCCCGTGTTCCCCGAAAACCCCTTAACCGTCCGGAAAACCAAAGTAGCGCTACAAATGTGGCGCCCGAGGAGGGACCGTTTCGACCGTTTTGCGCATGGCAACAATGTCAGCTTATGACCGAGGTGATTACGTCATCAGCCTGGACCATGAGTTGCCGAAGTTTGACCAAATCCAAGGCACTACTCCGTTAGTGGAATATTCTATCAATTTGCTCAATCATGAACCAATTAAACAGAGGTACCGTCCTCAGAGTCCCAGAATACAAGAAATAATCAACATTGAAATACTGAAGATGTTGGATGATGGGATCATTGAACTGTCCGTCAGTGCCTGAAGTTCACCCGTAGTATGCGCGTATTGACCTCTGGTTTTCCTTTTCCACTGTAACAAGCTACCTGGAGCCCGTGGGCCTTTAACCACTATAATTCATAGGGTGGCACCCGAGTTATCTGAGAACCCCTTAACCGTCGGGAAAACCAAGGTAGCGCTACAAATTTGGCGCCCGAGCAGGGACCGTTTTGAACGTTTTGCGCATGTCAACGATGTCAGCTTATGACCGAGTTGATTACGTCATCAGTTCTCGTTCCCACCGAAAGGCAGTTTGTTTTGGCGACGACGGTAGGTCTGTCCGTTACCGTATCGTATTTTATGCGAATACCAGAACTCATAGCGCCAGCAGGAATAAACCGCTCCTACTATAATCGTAAGGGTGGCGCCCCAGTTTTCCGAAAACCCCTAAACCGTCCAGAAAATCAAAGTATCACTACAATAGTATATTGTGTATTTCGGTGGAAAAGCTCATTCTCGGCCTTCGGTGTTTGCCGGCCTCGGCTACGCCTCGCCCGTCAACTTACACCGTCGGCCGAGAATGAGTCACTTTTCCACCTAAATACACAATATACTATATGCAACAGAATTTTTATCTTGCACAATGGAAAAAAATAGTTTAAGAATAAATTTGGAAGGATCTCGTTTCAATTCAGCTAATATTCACGAGTGTAATACAATAATAAAGGAACAAGACAACGTAATTAAATGTTGCTTTCATCCTGGAAACGTACAAAGAAACCGTCAGAACTGGAATTGCAATCATTGAAAAGAGGACAATTTTTAAAAGACACAAAGCGTTCGTTGTTTACGTTGTTTCTTTATCGTCAGCTTTTGATAGGTTTGCAAGAGGGTAATCCGTGACGTTCAAATAAATCGGTAAATAAGTTCGAAATAATAATATCCTAACATTTCAAATATAATATGTGATATATAAAAATGTAAGATAACGTTATTGTAGTTCAAATTTTTCCGGCTTAAAGTACAAAGTAATAATTTACATATTGCACACAGAGGAAAATGATAGTATGAAAAATTCATACCAAGTAGGGGATATTGTAAGGAGAGGAGCATATGGCAATATAGGATTTTCATATATATGTGTACATGACTCACATATGTTCGAGTTCATATTGCGGCAGGAAATGTGCAATTTATTATTTTAAAATATACACTTATTAGCTTTATGTTTTATACGGTTTAAAAGTTTAAAGTTACTGCATTGTAATATTATACAGAATATATTATAAGAAGAGGAAAAGGTAATCTTGACCGACCAATTGGATGAATACTAAGAGTTTCAATCACTGCAAGACCGCTACCGCAAGTAAGAAGTTTTTTTTTTCTGGAAAAGGTATTTACTTTTCATATACATAGTAATCAGAATCCTCTTCAGCTCCAAATATTCTGAAAATTTAACTTCGTTCGGTGTTGCCTTTGCTAAATTTTTGACCCACACTTATTCACAACAAGCGACCTCGAAACCATCCAAATGTGAAAGTTCATGATTGAATATATATTTATGTTAAAATTTGTCTGAAAAAAATTAAATGAAACAAATAATAGAATTTGAAAATTTGTCTATTTACATTAACGCATATTTCAGTTAATAACTAGAACCGTACACGTATTATATACATTAAAAGCTTTTTATAATTGATTCTTAAATTGGCACAACAATATTATATATAAATCTCAGAAACATTTACAACAAAGCTAAAACATTTGATGAACCAAAATATCACAATGGGTAATTCTTAAATTAAAAGACATGTTAACGTTAACAAACCATTAACCACCACAAGAAAATCAATCAGCATGTTATGGTTACATTGAAATAATTTGTGTGGTCAATTGAAATTTCTTCGATAAGGATTAGAAAAAAGGCAACTACCTATATGAATAAGCAATTGCCTTATTCATGTTTGTCAGATTTCGAATATTTAAATTACCATATACCTATCTACCTATTCATTATTCAATGGGCAATGTCAAAGCGAAAATTAAAGCTGAATTTATTTTGAGAATCCGACACTCTTTGACTGGTTTAATCATCCCTTCCATATTGCTCATTTTATATATTTTACAATAACACAACGGCAAGTGTTGAAACTAAAAGAAAAAAATAAGACAAGTTGTTAAGCGATGCTCCTAAATAGCAAGGTTTCTGAAAATAGAAAGAAATGTGTGTCATACATTTTATTGTTGAGGAAAATAGTTGTTTTACGACGACTCATTCAAAATTTTATTATCGTTCCATGTTAATGCTCTTATAATAAATTTTTGGAACAATAAACTCCACCATCTGCGCCTTAAATATAATAAGATTTGGGGCTTGCAGGAATATTTCATATCGAATTCAATCAACTTTTTGAATGTGTACAGAACGTGTTTTTGTTCTGGTGCAGGGGCTTTCTTAACACTATTGGACAACCCATATTTGTATGTAAACTTGCATGGAACCTTCAAGATAAAAAATTGAACGAGTCGTCGTGATTCAACACCAACTTAACACAATTAAAACTAAGTAACAAAAGTTAAAATTTACAGTACAATCGGCTAGTAATTATAGAGACAAGCGCATCAAAATTTTGTTGCTCAAAAAAAAAAACAAATAGTAATAATTTCATTATTGGCAGATATGCTAGAAAACCATTCACTAGGTTGTTGAATCCTGGCTGAGATCTTGCTTTGCACAAGTTGACTCAGAGTAAATTTCCCTTTTTGAAAGCTCCCTGTACATCCAACTTAATATTATTGTGGGGGTTAGTGCTGGCAATTTGCGGCGGACTATCGGTAAACATGGAGCAGTAGGTTTGGTTAGGTAAGGTTGGATGTATTTACAGGGCGCATTCGAAAAGAGAAATTTACTCCGAGTTATCCTGTATAAAAATTTTTATCATGGATTTGATTTCTGGTTCCATGAAAGTCCTAAAGAGGGAGATTTTTATGGAACCGGGGCGAAAGCATATTATGTAAATGACGAAGGAAAGCTGACTGGGAATGCTTAACAAGGAGAAAACTCACAGTCTATTTTCGACGCAGTTCAATATATTGACTTAAGGGTAAAGTATGCTTTTGTTCCGGTACCATAAACGCCCTACTCACTACTCCTATGAAATTGGAACGAAAACGTATTGAGTCGATCTTCCACGAAGTTTGATGAATTGATATTGAAAGTCTGATGTCATTTTTTATAATTATTAGTCGAATGCACTGTAAACAAAATCGCGTAAAAATTAAAAAACATACAACTCAATAATTTCTACAAAAAAGCACAGAGCACGTCAATGTGTCCCGTCGAAAACTGTTGTATTATTAAATTGAATAATGCTAGAACTTTTACAATTTTTATATAATATATTATGTATACAAACTAGCATAAAGCAGTCTTTTTGTTTTATTATCAATATATTATATTATAAATACCGGAGGTATTGTATAGAAACACAAATAGTTTTGTTTAAAATAAATTATCTAGAAACAAAATAATTTGCCAGAAAATTTGGCTGGTATGTATTGTTAAGCAATCAGGTAAATGAACGTTTGAACTATAGGGTACAAGGTGAAATACATCATGCTCGAAAGGTATAAAAGGAAAAAGGCAATATTTTTGTTATTTGAACGTTATCGCACGAACTCATCAAAAGTTTGATAGATAACAGGTAGAGAAAAACATATCTTCAGCCTCATTATTTATTCAAAAAATCAAATGCCATTTTCCTTTCAGCAATAAACAGCAGCTCCAATTTAAGTTATTGTATAGTCCATTCATTTCTAAAATAAAAGCCATTACCATCAAATAAGGCGCAGAAAACTGTTTCTAGTAAATATAAGTACGACACCAAGCGCATAAGGCAAACGCGACAAATTAGGCGAAAGGAAGTGTGCGGAAGAAGTTGTAGTTAATTCCGTAACATTAGTAAATTCACTAAAGCCAGCGAGATTTTCGGTGGCGGCTCTTACTTGATAAGTAGTGTTCTTAGTGAGGTTTGTAACGATGTAAGTCTTATCTGAAATAAATATTCGAAAAAAATCTAAGTATTTATTTTCAATTTAAGTGTCGCTGATAATTTTTCACAAAAATATAATAGCAGTTACCTTCAGCCAAACGAAACTGCTGAGCGCTCCAATAAGGGTCGTCGTAGGTCCTGTACTCTACCACAAATCCAGTAGGTGCCATTGCAGTTCGATTTTCAGGATCCGGTGCTGGTTCCTCGATGGTCAAAAATAGAGCCGTCGAATTGGCATCTTTTAGTTCCAGATACGATGGTGGTTCTGGTTGAGTACCTGCAAAAAAAGAAGAAGTATATATGTATATCTAGTCATAAATATGTATGCAATTCCAATTAAAAATAAAATAAAAATTCACAAGGACTTCTTCAGCAGCCTCTGGTCATTGTCGGGAACTCTCACCTTCCTCAGCGAAATAATCGTGACTCCTGATGGACACAGGCCATCTGCAACGAATGACCTTGAAAGTGGTCCAAAAGTGGCCTTGTTACACTACTAAACTCATGTTTTGTTATGCGCATGCCAGGTATAATACTAGCGCATGCGCAATAGATCTTGTGTGACCTTGTAATCGTGTTCGAACCGGAGAAGCTCCTCTACTCCTTGTGGAAATATTTTCATAAACTTCCCCAGTACTTCTCTCACTTCCTTTGCACTTGCTTGGGGTGGAGGTCCTATCCTGATAGATTCCTCCTCACTTTTTTTGAAACCTTTTTCTGTTAAAATCAATGGAGTTTCCACCAACTTTAATCGCTCACAATGATTATAGATTTCTTTAAGATTTGCTAAGTTACTACCTTATTCAAAAAAAAAATATATAGGACCAGAACTAGCTGTAATTGGAGGATTCAGTAATTTCTATCCAGAGCTTTCTTTTTAATATTTCCGGCCAATACTCAAAACCACTTTCAAGGCCATTCGTTGCGGATGGCATGTGTCTATCAGGAGTGACCATTCATTCGCTGAAGAAGGTGAGAGTCGTCGGCAATGACCAAAAGCTGTTGAAAAAATCTTCGTGGAGAGTGTCGTCGACAATGACCAGAGGCTGCTAAAGAGTATGACTCTAGGTTTCGAGGGATGGCGGAAAAAGTGACGTCATTTCTCAAACAATCTTTCCAATCCTATGGCCACGAGGCTTTTTAAGCAGCCTCTGATGTCACTGACGTCACTTTTTCCGCCTTTCCTCCAACCCTATAGTTGTTTTCTTTAGCAGCCCCTGGTCATTACCGACGACTCTCACCTTCTTCGACGAAAGAATGGTGACTTCTGATGGACAGGCCATCCGAAACGAATGACCTTGAAACTGGTCCAGAAGTGGCCTTGTTACATTACTAATTTCATATTTTGTAATTCAGATGCCAGGTATGATAGTAGCGCATGCGCAATAGATCTTGTAATTGCGTTCGAACCGGGGAAGCTTATCTACTCCTTATAAAAACATTTTCACAAACTTCCTCAGTATTTTTCTCAATTCCTTTGCACTTGCATAGAATTAAGGTAGAAGCTATTCTGATTAATCAATGGAATTCCCACCAACTTTAAATGCTCAAAACGATTATAGATTTCTTTGAGATTTGCTATATTCCTACCTTATTCAAAAAAAAAAATATATATATAAAACCAGAACTAACTGTAATAGGATTCGTTAATTTCTATGCAGAGCTTTCCTTTTTTAACATCATTTCCGGCCAATACTCAAATGTCGTTTCAGTTAATTGATGTAAAAAAATTTCCAGACTACGTCTTATTACAAAAGACATCCCTATATATATTTTCAGTTTTGACATCCTTTCAAAGGTCCTCTCCGTCTCCCTAATATCAATTAAGTCAACACAATGGAATAATAGCCTAAATAGGTCTGGCCTTAGCTTCAGAGATCCTGGCGTAATATCCCTGGGTATGGGTTATTTTCGTTTGCTTTACTGAATGAATAAAATATAAATCTATTTACTGAATTGCCTTATCAAAAATTTACAAAATGCTGGACTTACCGTTTTCAACAAAGAAATCAATATTTAGTTGTCCTTCCGAATTTTTCACTTCGCATCTATACCCTCCGAAGTCTTTTTTTTCCTTCAAGACAATCTGAAATAAGATAATTCCAAAATATATCACTCGAATATATCAAAATTTTTATATCGTCGATCGCAACAACTCAATCAAAAAAGTCCTAATGCCAGTTACTTGCCATTAAAGTAGAAACTGCCGGATTTGTCGAATTTCCGGGAATTTCTTTTCCAATTATCTTGAACCGATCCGTCTTTTTATACCATTTAAAGGCTGGTGCAGGGTTCGCATAGACCTCGCAAGTCAACTTGACAATTCCGTTCAGATAACCGTAGGCGATATTTTGCTTCTCGTATATGTTAAATTTATCCCTCGGAGGATCTAGAAAAGATAATACAATTTTCTAGAATAATACAGTCCATGTTTGTTTTTGAACAATTTGTGATTATGATAAACATTAGGTAATAACCCTTGATTTTGTCATTTTGTTATAGCCATCTTTATTGTGAACGTGGAACATACGTATCTATATTGAATTGAAAATTAATTTATTTACGACTAATGTATAATATGCGTATTATATTTGTGATTTTGGCAGTATAATGACATATGTTATTCCTCCAGGGATTAATGACGAGTAGCGGGATTAATGGTCATTATTCCACAAAAGTGTCAGTGTCAAACGTGTAGTGCTTGTGGATTTGTATTGAAAATTATGAGACGGATGAAATTTGTTCATTGAAAATCTCAAATAAATTAATTTGTCGTAAATAAAGTAGAGTATACTACTCGCAATAATGGCTATTATTCCCTCGGAATGTTACTCCCTCGCCGCTAACGCGGCTCAGTTCGTAATAATCCTCGGGAATAATAGCTATCATTATTGACTCGTGGTATAATCTACTATTAAATCAACTTTACCGGAATTTGATTCTCACTTGCTGTAGTTAGGCATTAGGCATTTAAAGATAGCTATAACATTGAACTATATTACTGGCTTTCTTATATTACTCACGTGTGACAGTTAACTTTATGTCTCTATTTAAGAAAGTCCCAGAGTTCGAATTGATGGCTTTACATACGTACTCATTTTCGGCATCTTCCGGACTGACATTGTAAATCCAGAGTCCATCAGCTACTTCTTTGAATTTATCACCTGAAACAAATAATTATGTCATATGTTTTTTGTGGACATGACCAAAACATCATCAGAATAACGCAAGAGAGACAAGTAAACCAGAGATTAATGAAGCTAATAAACGAGATTGTGGAACGAATATAAACATGATATATGTGTTAACTGGAGAACTGTAGCTACGTACAGGAATGATGCACAATTTACTTTAAAGTCAGAAACGTGAAAGATATTTTAATCAAAGTGATGATGGTTGACATTCTGCAGCATATACAAATGTTGCTATAGCACTGGGTTCACCACTAGAGGAAATTACAATAAAATTTCTTACATAAGTGAATCGGCTAGCTTAAATTTATCAGTAAAGACATGCATAACTATGATAAAATACATATGAAAGAAAGCATGTGGGTTATTAGTAAGACAAATGTATGAAGAGTAATAAACCTAATTCGTTTCTATTGACATGATTTGGCTTCGTAATTTTATTCTCGATTCGCATGCATTTTTATTCATTAGTAAGCCCTAAGATACTCTAAAGTTCTCTTACCTTGCGGAGGCGGTTCCCCATTAACCAACCATTCAGTGGATGTTGCATGCCTGGCTTCACATTTCAAAAACTGAGTTTCGCCTTCTTTGATAGTCACGTGCTTTGGAGTATCCACAAATTCTATGGGAGCTTGGAATTAAAGAAAATAATTGTTATATGAACTGACACAATAACATATTGTGTAGAAATTACTCGATAAATCTTCATTCTATATACAATTTAGCAACTTGTTTGTTAAAGTTTGATAAACGGCATAGCTTTATTAAGTTTCGGGCGAGTACTTGGAGTGGTTGGTGAAAGTTCACGGGACATTCTTTTTATGACGGTCCCGCAATAACATCGGAACAAGTATAAAAACTTTGAAAGTGGAGTGCATTTTGGGATTCAACTGATTCTAGAAAGTTTATAAAGTGCAACAGCATGAAGTTTTACGTTTACTTACAAACAAATTTCTTGCAATATGGAATGTTTTTTCTCCAATTTTCCATTATCAAAAGATCCGCCATTTAAACCACTATGAGCGTGGAACGTTCAAAGCATTACGTAATAGAATGAATTCCACAGTAAATTAAAGCGAGCGGTTGCCCCATTTTCTTGATGTTGCATTAGTTAGAGATAAAACAACGAAATAGCGCTCCTCACCGCAACTAAATGATTTTTACTCGAATATCAGGCTTTTGCGAGCGTTCGTTTTCACCCTTAAAATGTTTCCTGCTTTATGTCGTCCCATTAGGTTTTAAGTAGGAAATAATAAAAAAGAAATAGTTTACCCAACAATAGCAATAATACAATGCCGAAGCTAAAAGTTTAATTTTCAGCATTTTTATATTATGCAATATTTGCAAGTATAATAATTTATCATTTGACTTATGCAAGTAAACTCGAAAATGTTTGAGAGCGTTTACGACTGCTAGAGTCTTCAACTCCTATGAATGATATTAAGCTTCTGCTGGACTGATACGTTGACTGAAGTTTCCAATTATTTTTATTCTTGTCCCTGTAGAAGTACTGCTCCATATCCAATGCAGCTCGCATCTGTGTGGAGCTCAGTCGACAAACTCAGATCAAATGTTGACAAAAGAGATTTAGAAACTAAACAATTGATCACATAGTTTTTTGCATTTTCTTGCTCCGAGGACGAGACGAATCGTTCGTTATTTCGTGTGAGTTTTGTTATACAGGCTGTTCCTGGGACATAAATTGTCTTACTTGTTTCACATTAGTTGGTGATTAGTGCTTCTACTTTCTGTGATCCAGGACGGATTCCTTGTGATGAAACTTCTTGTCCCATATAGTCCAATTTTTTTTTGAAAAAAATAAAATTTTTTGAGGTTCAAGGAAAACCTAGCTTCTTGCAAGGCACCTTAAACCTTTTCAAGTGATTCTAAGCCCTCTTCTATGGACATTGAGGGCACTGAAACATCATCCATATGCACCAAGGCTACCCAGCGCTTTATTAATGACTCGTTGAAAGGTAGCTGGGGCGTTTGCCAATCCGAAGGGCATCCTATGGAACTTATAGTGTCCCTCAGGTCACGAAGCAGTTTTGGGCATGGACTCTGAATCGATCGAGAGTTGGTTGAATCCTGATAACATATCCAATGAAGTAAAGAACTTTGCTTTGCCCAAGCGATCAAGTGGTCCTCTATCAAGGGTAAAGGATATCGGTCTGTGTGCGTTCAGTTCCCTGTAATCAACACACATCCTTTTTGCGAACCAGGATTATTGGACTGGCAAACGACGAAGAAATTTCTTGAATAATATTGTTATGCAAAAGGTCGCTAATTATTTCACGTACTGTTTTTCTCTCCACCGCCGAAAGTCGATAAGGATTACGGCTCACAACAAAATCATCCTTTAATTTGATTTGTTTTTCGACTGGTGAGAATGATTTGGGCGTGACTGATTTAGGCGAAATGAGAATTCAGGTGACGACTGATAAGCCAGTGGTCTATAGGCCTTATCGTTTGTCATTTACTGAGAGGGCGTTAGTAAGAGAGAAGGTGCAAAATTTATTGGATGCAGTCGTTATCCAGGAAAGTGAGTCGGCGTTTGCAAGTCCAATTGTACTGATACCAAAAAAAAATGGAGATGTTCGTATGTGTGTGGATTACGTTGAATGCGATTACGGCGAAGGATCGATCTCTTTTGCCTCGGATTGAGGACCAATTGGACCGACTGGCGGGCAAGTGCTAGTACACTACTTTGGATTTAGCGCAGTACCTGTGGCAATGGATTCTGTGTCCAAAACGGCGTTTGTAACTCCTGATGGACATTACGAGTACTTGAGGGTGCCTTTCGGATTGGCGAATGCTCCAGCAGTTTTTCAGAGGGTGATAAATCGAATGCTGAAGGGCATGCAGAATGACCTTGTGTTGGCGTACATAGATGATCTTCTCATACCTTCATCTTCTATTTCTGATGGATAGGCGTTGTTGGAAAGGGTCCTGCAGATGGTGGCGGAGGCGAATTTGAAATTGAATCTGGCGAAGTGCATTTTTCTGCAGGATAAGTTAGAGTATTTGGGGTATGAGGTGAGTGCAGGCGGCATTCGTCCAGGTGAAAGGAAAGTTCAGGCGGTGAAAGATTTTCCTATTCCGGTTGATGTGCATGGAATTAGACACTTTATTGGTCTGGCGAGTTATTTCAGAAAGTTTGTCACGAATTTTGCTGTAGTTGCAAGGCCATTGACGAACTTAACTAAGAAACATGTTTCATGGCGATGGGGTGCAGAGGAGCAGAGTGCATTTGATTAATTGATGGCGGCTTTAGTTGAGTGACCAATATTGGCGTTATATGATAGTGAGGTGGAGACAGAACTACATACAGATGCGAGTAAGCTAAGCGTGGCTGGTATTCTTTTGCAGAAACAAGCGGATGGCAGTTTGAGGCCAGTCTTTTACTACAGTAGGGCGACAAAAATGGCTGAGCAGGCGTGGCATAGTTATGAACTCAAAACTTTGGCGATAGTAGAGCCTGTTAAACGTTTTCGAGTGTATTTGATAGGCGTTCATTTGAAGGTGGTGACAGATTGTTCAGCTGTCAGGGCGACAATGGCGAAAAAGGATCTTCTGCCTAGGTAGCTAGGTGGTGGATGGCATTACAAGAGTATGATCTGTCTGTGTGTAGAATGGGTCATGAGATGCAACATGTTGACGCACTCAGTAGAAATCCGGTGAATGTTTGCTTGGTAAACATGACTGAAGGCGATTGGTTTCTGACAGTGCAGTTATAAGACGAAAAGGCGTTGATAAATGGCTTAGCTGAGGAGAGAGCAGACAAAGAAGTGAAAGATGTTGACAAGTTGGCGAATGGGCGTTTGTATAGAAAAACATTACTTGGCGATCATTTGTATGTACCTTATATGGCGATATTTGGTTTGGTACGCAAGCATCACGATGACATAGGTCATCCAGGCGCTTTTTTGCATTTTCTTGCTCCGAGGACTAGACGAATCGTTCGTTATTTCGTGAGAGTTTTGTTATACAGGCTGTTCGGGAGGCAAACTCTGGGACATATTTCCTAAAATAGCCTGCTAACCTCATGAATTGTCTTACTTGTTTCACATTAGTTGGTGATGGAGCTTTAATTGGTGCTTCTACTTTCTGTGATCCAGGAACGGATTCCCTGTGATGAAAATTCTTGGCCCAGATAGTCCAACTTTTTTTGAAAGAAATTACATTTTTTGCGGTTCAAGGAAAACCCAGCTTCTTGCAAGGCACCTTAAACTTTTTCAAGAGATTCTAACCCCTCTTCTCTGGACAGAGGGCATTTAAATATCATCCATATGCACCAAGGCTACCCAGCGCTTTATTGATAGCTCGTTGAAGGGCATCTGGAGCGTTTGCCAATCCAAAGGGCATCCTAAGGAACTCATAGTGTCCCTCAGGCGTCACGAAGCAGCTTTAGGCACGGACTCTGGATCGAACGAGAGTTGGTGGAATCCTGATAACATATCCAATGAAGTGAAGAACTTTGCTTTGCCCAAGCGATCAGGTTGGTCTTCTATCAAGGGTAAAGGATATCGGTTTTTAATTGTATGTGCGTTCATTTCCCTGTAATCGAAACACAAGCGATAGTCCTTTTTGCGAAACAGGATTATTGGACTAGCAAACGGCGAAGAACTTCCTTGAATAATATTGTTTTGCAAAAGGTCGCTAATTATTTCACGTATTGTTTTTCTCTCCACCTCGGAAAGTCTATGAGGATTACGGCTTACAACAAAACCATCCTTTTATTTAATTTGTGAAGTAGTGTTATTCTCTTTCTTTCTGGTATCATTCTCTCAAATTTAGCTAACAGATTCTGTACATCTAACCGATACTTATCTGGAACGTTTATTTCTGTGTCCCAGTAGAATCGGTAATTGACATAATAATAGAGTCCTCACACAAATTGGCACCAATAATGACATCGTACTTCAATAAATTTTGGGGTGCGAAAACAAAATCTAGTTTTAAGATTACATCACAAATTTCTACTGTACTCCTAAACATCTGATGTAACTCAATACTGCCTGGAAGTATTCCAGATAAATCAATATTACACGGCAAAACACTTTGGGAAAAATATGGAAGGTGTTTATCGGCCATCAAAGAAATATCTGCTCCACTGTCAATAGCAATATTTTCAACTCGTTCAGAGGAACTGGTTTTCCTGTAGTACAGAATTTGACATCATGAGTGTTCCTCCGCTTTTCTATACCTTTACGTGTAAATCTTTTTTGTATGCTGTGCACAAAATAGACAAACATTGTCTCCATCGACTTTAGGTTGAGGTTGATGAGGAGACGATTTTAGCTCACTATGATTAGCACAACGCACCTGGATGTGTCCTAATTGCCCACACTTATAACATTTTATTTTTTTTCGTGTACACCTCTATTTTGGTGATTGTTATCAACCGAGTCATCAACTTTGTACCAATTATCATTGTCACTTAATCGATAACGTTTATGTCCCGATCCAAGTTCATTTTTTTTAAAAGGTCTTTTCATACTAGAGGACGAAAGCTTCGTTAAGGAACCCAAGAAAGCTATCAACTTTGATATTGTTTTAAAATTCTGATTATTAGCTATAGCTTGAACTTCACGTTCTCTTATCCCATGAATAATAATTTCGATAAAATCT